AGAGAGAGAGAGAGAGAGAGAGAGAGAGAGAGAGAGAGAGAGAGAGAGAGAGAGAGAGAGAGAGAGAAGGACAGAAGGTTGGAGGTGAGATCTGGTGTGTGGGGAGAGATTTCTGATTACCTGGTGTCTTCTGCAAGATTCTCTTCATGGCGATGATTTCTCTGCCGCTTCAGGTATATGCTATCTAGGCTTGTTCAAGCTGGTGTCTGCCTTGAGGAGGCCGCGCCAGATAGGAGAGTGCTAGGAGAAAGAGAGAGCGGCATTGTGATTTGAGTGGGGAGACGGAAGCAGTGTTGAGTGTTGGTTAAGGAGAGACTTGCCGGCGAGAGAAGGGGAGGTGGTTGGAGGAGACGTATCCGGCATTGAACAGGGATACGATCAACATAGTAATCCGTGGAATGAAATTATTATTCTTCTTCCCTCTATCATCTTCTTCTCCCCTCCTTCATCATCTTTCTATCTGAGTTTCATATGCGAAGTGCATGTGTGGCATACTGTGCAGCCACACGGGCCTGCAGGGCCCGACCAGCGTTTTCAGCCTAAAAGCCTGAAAACACTGTGTCGTTTTCAGCCTAAAAGCCTGAAAACAACGGCCTACAGGCCCTGTGTCGTTTTCAGCCTTAAAGCCTGAAAACGAGGGCCTACCGGCCCTATGTCGTTTCAGCTTAAAACAGGGCCCTCCAGGCCCTGAGTCTTTTCAGCCTGAAATGGAGGGCCATTTGCAGGCCCTCATAAGATCGACCTGCCCTGAAACTTAGGCACCAGACCAGGGTTTTAGCACAGGCCATTTTTGGCCTGTTTTCAGGACAACCTTTGTTTGAACTTCAACGCCAGGGTCTGGCACGTTTTGGCATTGGCAAGAGCAGCCTCCTGGATGGGCCAGCACTATATAAGACTGGCCCGCCCTACAGGCTGCAGACAGTCACGAGGTAGTTCATAGGAACTTCCCAGGCACTTCACGTGCAGGAGGCAGTCTTCAGGATTCGGCAGCAGCACTCTGGAGGAGCGTTGCAGTAGTAGTAGTAGCGTTAGCAGTAGTCTTCAGCGCTAGGCTCTATCAGCAGCTAGAGTAGTAGTGGAGAGAGAGAGATGGTTGGCGGAGGCCAGGGAGACTTACCTGTGGCGCCATAGCTCCAGCTTCGTCTTCGATGTACCTGCAACAAGGCGCCACCTTCACAGGTTAGTACCGGACTGAGAGAGAGAGAGAGAGAGAGAGAGAGAGA